GTCTATGTGCGGCGCTGATTATGAGACCTCACGTATGCACAGTAACTTAATCCAATGAGCAACTATGGTCTTCCATGCCCATAACTATACGCGATGACGCTTGTCTTTGCTACCTATAGTAAACACTAGCCAGTATCCCAGTGGGCCGAATATGGACTTGACTATGCTTTGTGTGGTTGTCTGGTTATCCAACAAGTTACTTTACCAGGAGTGGGTGACAAATAAATAAAGATAACGCTAGATCGGGTATACAATAATAAAGGTGTCAGATGGAACAGAACCGCTAATAGTTGTTCTCTTTAAAATAGTTCGTCATTGGCCCAGGTCAGCAAATAAACAATAATCCAGTTATGGTGGTTCAGAGGTTTTTCTGAACAATTGCCACATATAATGGAGTCTGAACTGGTCTGAAATGTTTTGATCCGGAGTTAGCACGTGAGACTTGCGAATGGCCACTGCAGACGCCAGCGAAATCAGAAGAGAGAGTCGAAGCACATGACATGTATTGCGTGAAGTGGTACAAGTGCGCGTTTTTGTAGTTTTTCGTATTCAAACGAAAAACGATATGCGGTTGACGAAATGCATAGTGTTATAATGGAAGCAAACTAAGGGTAGAAAAAATCACAGTTGTAGCCTAATCTGACGGCCTGGCATTCTCAGTGCTGTACTCTATATCAACTTACCTGGGTACTTACCGTACCTGCCTGGTCCGTATCCCTATGCGGGGTTCGTTTTACGAGCCCGAGAAAGTCTGGCGTCATATCGGCGCTCATTCGAGTGTCAAGAGTATATCTTTCAGTATGGTTCTCCTACCGTTCATTAAAAGACGCCCCTGAGTGTAAAACGCCGTGAAGTTAGACTCGAAAGACGGTGTCGTAGTTCATAGCTATGCCGGATGGCATTTGGTGAAAGTAACTCTTTATTTATTAGATAAGGCTCATTAGTCTCTTAATTCTCATTAAACAATACCATTCAGAACACTGATTTCACTAGTTAAGACATGGGTCTCACGTGACCCGAACTAGTCATTAGGTGAAAGAATGTCAAAACGGGATAAGTTTGTCCAGGCCATCTACCAGGTGGCAACTGCTTTCACGTCAAATGGACTATTTCCGAGAAATGCATCATCCTCTTGACCATTCTTGAAAGGAAGGGCAACTGAGAGCCGCCGGGAATTAGCCTACTACACGGTGGAGCATTCGTGTGGTGGAACGATGCCATATAAGTTTGAATCACGTCCGATTTCATCATGTGCTTGAGCAAATGTCAAGAATTTACACATGAACTTCATGCCCATCCTGGGTCTAAGGCAGCATGTGCACTCCGTAGCGAGTGCACAGACAGCCATCTATGACCTACTGAGACAAACAACAATCACTCCAAAACAGTTTGCGTGCAGGGTACACACCGGTTGGTTGAGGGCAGATGAACCATCAAGTAAGGTCACAAGTGAATGATATAAATAAAGTGCTGCATTTACACCAATACACAGTTTTTCTGGCTGCCTTATTTCTGACTGTAACCCGGTAGCAGCAACGATTAGGTACGACAAGATCACCGTACTGCACCGCCGTATTATCATATAGATTTATTTCCACAGAACCTCATAAAGGGGAGTTTAGCCTATATTTTCTGCGCCCAGTCAGGCAATGTCTGTTACAGCACGAGTGCCGCTTACCAGCTAGCATCCACGGTTCAGTTTCGCCACCCTTATACAGGGAGGGTGAGAATCAACTGCCATCACCCACTTCTTTACATGCTCCGTTCACTTTCTCCATCTCCATCTCTGTCCAAGTATAGTTTTTTCGCCATTCCGAATCAGAGAAGAAAAACAACGCTTCGCCGACACGCTGTAACCCAAAGTGCTTAATAAATGGTTTACCCAGATAACCTTGCAGTAAGGGATGCACTGTTTGATGGATGGCTGTCAGCTTCACGCACAACACGTCCCCTGCTGGGGCGACTAGAAAAAAATCTCTCGCCCATGAGAGTCGTGCACTTATTACGCCCGTCCCACTAAAATCAGAGTTATTGAGGCTTTCGAAATACGCAGTGCGTTACACAATCCCCCAATGTCAGCACTTGTTTGCTCACAGGTCACCAGGATTCACCGGCACCCAAAAATCTTGCGGAATTTGCTGTAGGGCTTTCTTTTTCTGCGCAAAATGTGAAATTCGTACAATGAATGTTTTCAATAATGTCTATTTAACGTAAAACCGAACCATCGCCACGAAAAACTGTTGTACGTTACACGAATACAGGGAGTGAGGCTGTGCCGTATTATGCAGAGGTGACGCTGAACTGCGGGTGTTTTTTGTGATATGACCACTTACCTGCAGATGTTTGCCTTGCGACTCGAGGAATTAGCGCCCATCAGATTGAGAATGTACTAAAACTCCAACAAACGATTCAAATCACGCTATCCCGTCACTGTCACTAAGAACGGAATGTTCCAGTACATGTTGATCTGAATAGTGCTGCCTCCCGTTTATGGCCTAAGCACAATACTGCATACTTTAGCCCGACCAAGGTAACACATTAGCTGCATCAAAAAAGTTCCTTAAGTCAAAAGTCCCTCTTTGAGTTTCCGTTTTTTCTGACGCCAAAATTGACCATTGCACCATTGTCTCCTCGCAGAATTCCTTGTTATTTTTCAACGCTCAACTGTTTTCTGAAGATTTTCTGAAATGCCATTGTCACTACCCTAGTATCAACCGGCAGATAGAAACGTACTTTATTGAACGCGGCTGCTTATTCTCTGTCACACTAGGGACTGCCGCTCTAAACCTTTTTATCCCTCAACGCTATCAACAGCCTCGAACCATTAGAAACTTGGCCAGTTTGAGAGAAGTTATCATCTGTGTCAAAATTGGAACGAAATTCTTACTATGACACCTCCACGTCATCTGGGTAACTGAAATGGCCAAATGCCATACATGTATCCTATTTCCCAGAGTTCGGTTGCAAAAATGTGGGTAGCAAAGCTCACAATATTTCGTCCAGAGCTTCTATTTACAACCGGACTCCTTTGCGACTCCCCTACCCATTCTAAATAACTTGACAACCTTTACTGTTTGTTTTGACGAGCAATGTGGAATCATAGACTAAATCGACAAACCAAACTTATCCGGTTCTCTAAGTGTTGAACACAAACTCCCTCCGCCTCTCCTTTCTGTCTGTACCTAGATTCACTGCTTGAATGAGGGTGCTTTCCACCTCCTCTTGGTGTTCTACTTATGACTTCGTTGTTCCAGACACCCAGATTCCCATCACAAGTATGATACTTGCTGATCCGGTCAAAGCTGGTAAAGGATGAGAAATACTCTGTGCACGTCCTACTTCATCCACAATCAGACCTGGTTCATTGGGGCTCGCCGAAAGAACCAGGTGTCATTCAGCAGAACACAGGATTCTCCAATAAGAGATTTTTGGGCGCAGTTTGACTATCAACTTGCTAAATTCAACTCTAACAAATGTCAGCCACAACAGTTAGCATTAGTGCCATGCCATTCCGGCTAACATCCAAAGCCAAACTATTATCATTGTATACTCAGATGTACGGAGAACCTTCGATTGAGTGCCGCAGAATTACTTCTTGAACAATGCTCCCATTCAGGGCATTGTTGACGTAGTATTATCATGTTTACAATTGTACTCATACCCGTGTGTTACGGAATCAATGTGTTAGTTCGTCCGAAGGTTCTAACTTTTATTGCAAGATAGTGAACAACACAACGTCGGAACTATTAAGGACGGCATCCATTCAAACAGATGCATATTTGAGGAGAGGTGAGGTAGACCGAGTTCGCTAATTAACACGCATCGTTTTACTCAGTTAACCTTCCTGTCTCGCTTGAATTTGCCAGAAAGCAAATTCGAATGTCATTATTTCCTCTTTGCGCACCATTTTCTACACGCCGAGCAAGTGAATTCCGTTGGTTTCCCAACCTGTGTATACGCCGAATATTTCCTCGCAGATAAACGAGCTCAGTAGCCAGTGGTGCCAGCTGATGGCTTGGGGAAGATTTCGTTCTTCACAGGACAAGCCTGTAGTAATAGTTGCTGTTGTAATAGTTGGACACGTTCCTCTATCTTTTCACAAAAGTATACTTGCGTTCTGCGTACAAACTATCCAGAATGTTGACTTGATTATTTTCGTTCTTTTTTTGAATTTTGAAAAACAGTGATTGATTTTCGGTGAAACAAAATGTGAAGGACAATTGGATAATTTTTCTCGTTCGCTTGATCAATATATAAATTTCCTTCAATACCTTGGACGATTGACCCACTGCCGCCTGTGTAGCCCACCGAATCTCATGGAGACATCTTAAACTTTGAACTGTAAGGGTGTTGTTTAGCTTGTAACCGAATATAAACTGCATTTTCCATGTTTTGCTCTATCACGGCAAGCCAACGACAAAATGCTACAGGCGGTATGATTCTGAGTATTGCCCAGTGTGAACAATTATTTCAAAGATCGTAAAATCAATCAATTCAATTTTGTCCGTTATTTATCAAAAAATTAAGGTTTTATTGACGTCAGCTGATAGAGCAGTGCAAGACTGTTGGTGAAAAATAGACAGGAGGCGCAAAAAACAGTTGACAAAATTTAGGATCGCTAGGAGTCTTCAAGAGCGCGAGGATATTGCGGGGTGTTCGGAGGTGAGCGAATGAATTCGATAATCTTTTTATGTTTGCAGCTGAGTTCCACTGGATGATGATTATCTCAGCTTCCAATAACAGACGAGCTGCAATGGGATTTGAATGGCTATGTGAGACTTGACGCATCCACTGAACCGCTTGATTCACACCCAATATTCAACAGAGATGACGGAGTGCGGCAAAATGGCGGTGGTTAGGCATTTATCTCATATGCCATTAGAACAAGACAGATCGTGCCTATTAGAAAGAATAATGCCTATTTCGGGTAACCTTGCTTGACAGGAGGACTAAATCAACCTTTCTCTCATGCACAAGCTTGTCTTCGTTCACGCGTATGACTCACTCATCACTGCACTCTGCTGGTGCGCAGTGTATATAAGTATATAATGCAGCCTTAAGTGGAAAGATTGGCGAACGAAAGAATGATTCAACCCTTGTTTTTCACGATTCTGTCACTAGCTGTGCGATCTTATGCACAAATTGAAGGAATTTCGTGTCTGCAACAAATCAGTGGCCAACCACCGACAATATGGGAGAATTGTGAGTATTGCTTGGTAAGTTCGTTTCATCTCAATGCCATTTGTATCACTCTTGAACGAATTATATTTGTGTTTATCATATTTACTTCAGTTTTACCTCTCAGGACCAGAGGTACGCAGTTGTTCATTTTTTGGATGTCTCGAAACTGCAGACAAGAAATGCTGCGACACCTCATTTTGCAACATAAATCAAACAAAGGGTATGTTGCCTCTTCTTGAAATGATATGGAATCCTTGTGTACCGCGTAGCCGAGGAATTCAGCAAAAACAAGTGGCGGTGAGTGTCCACTTTCTAATACTATAAGAATAATTGCCCAAACATTTCTAACGTTTACCGTTTTGAAATTACAGATGTAAGTCTTTGGAAATTTGAAGCATTTTTCATAAAGCTTACAGATGTTACGATGGTGACGACAGAAGTCATGTACTTAACCCACAAGACGATTGCAGATACTGCAAGGTACTACCAGAAGCGGTTTTGATTTCACGTTATAGCTATCTAATCTCTTGTATCTTGTTCTTGACATTAGGCTTTTTGTTCTTATTAGGTTATAAAAGACAAGTTCGGCTTCGGACTCGACCAATACACATGCAGGAGAAAGAACTGCCAGGAAGACACTGACAAAGAAGTATGCTGCGATGGTGACCTATGCAACTTTTCCTTTCCTTATGGTAAGTTACATTTACAAAATGAGTTTCTAGCCTTTCAATTATTTCATAATGAAACATTCATGGTTATATTTTTTCAGCCGAGGTCAACCGCGTAGATATTGTTAGGTACGTAGAGAATCTGCTCTTCATGCATGCTGTTCCTTAGTTCACATTGCCATCATTAGCATCCTCATTAGTACTACCAACGTCATTATGTGGTTTTTCTTCGAATTCTAGCGAAGAAGAGGCAAACGAGTTCATCCACTCATTTTATACAACAACAACTAAAGAAACTACAACTACAACTCCATCTACGACCCCAACGACACAAAGTACAACAAGAACCACAGAAATCAATAAAACGGAACATGCTACCCAGGCAATGGTGAGGTAAGCTATGCAAATGGGGACCGTCTCGAATTTTGAGAATGGAGACACGTTTTTAGGGCGTTTGTCACAGACAAGTGCATTCAGCTTATGGTAAACTTTGACTGCCATAATAATAATTGGTGATGACGATTACGTATTCAAAAAACGAGTACAAGAGTGACAATCGTAATCTAAAACATTGCTGATGACAAGTCGCGATATATTTATTCAGTTTTTCGTATGATCTTATTGAACAAAATTAAATAAATACAGTGGAAATGCTTTAAGAAACACCTGAAATTGGTCACACACTGAAACGATCTACAGATTTTTTTATCCGACCCAAAACTGGCTCGACGAAATGTTCGTCTACGATTGATTTTTTAAGACTTATCCACACATCACTCACTATACTCTATAGAAACTCAAGTAAAAAGCCGAATAACTAAACCGTGATTTGTTGCTCAGATGTCTAGGTCGATGTATTCAATATGTAGCCTTTGCCCAAGTTTATTCAATGAAATTGAAGTTAATGAACGTTGAACGCTAGGGAACGGGTCACCGGAATTTTAGCTTAAATTTGTAACACAATATCACTGGACCAACATGTCTTTACAAAGCAACCACACGAAGCTAACCATAAATACTCATTTGTCAACGCATCTGGGTGCAATTGGACACTATATATCAAAATTGGGGAAACATATAGAATTTTTTAGACCTGGAATAAGATGTGTGACCAGGAACTAGAAAGTGAGCTCTGGGTTTTACAACCAAGCAATCTGTGTATCCTAAATACACCAGAAGCCTCATCAGTTTGGTCCTCGTTTGTGATCGTTGATGCATAGAATTTCCGTTTTAGAGCGTGCCTCAATTGCCTAACCTTTATATTTTTGGTTAATGCAAGCAATAATTACGACAACTAAATGAAACAAAACCCCAGAGGTCTATTGCGTTGTTGTCTATTCTAAAACAAAGCAGACCGCAGCGATTTTTGTGTTGCAGAAACCCATTTTCTCAAAAACGCATATTGTTGTTGCTTTGCCCTGATGCGGAGTGATATGAAAAACTTTGAAATTCCAAATTTTAGCACAACAGAAAAGGCTAATAACCCAAGACCAATGTATCAATGGGATTCAAGTATACAACCCCTCCAGAATTCTTGACTCCACGAGTTTCGTAAGCGTAATTCCAGGCAACATGGCCCTGCTTTGATACTTGCCGTCTTGAGTGGAGTTGTAGCGTTACCTTGGAATTTTTTTTCATTATTCGTCGACCTTTTCAACAACATCACGTTCAAATCAATCCATATTTTGTACGCTGGTGCCAAAAAATAAACACTAAGAATTTCCTGTTTTAGTACGTTAGAAGTTCTCGACAACCATTCCGCCAAGGTACCTCCGCCCAAAAATATCATGAGCAGATTAAAGTTCTAGACAAACAAACTAAAACAAAATTGGTAAAAATTGTTGTAAAAATTGACAATTTAAAAACATTCTTAAATAATAAGGTTTGATCCAAAAGCTCAGTTATTCATTCAGCGAAAACTACGCAAAATGCAAGAAAGTTGTAAAAGGCTCGATAGAAAAGAAGCCTGCGAAAATCAACAGAGAATTTTGATCAGTAAAATTTGATAAGCAAATCGTGAAGTTAATCTGTTATGACCAGAAAGCAGACTGTGCAGTGGCACATTGAGAACGCATTTAGCACGCCATTCCAGAGCGATAAAGGCAAAAGGTTGGATGAGGGGATTTCATGCGCACAACTTCCACCAAATCACATCAAATCGGTGTCAAATGTTCACGTACACGATTGAGCAAATCCGATCTGATTGGATGGTAGTTTTGTTGAGAAGCTGTAGATCACATGTCCAACTCGACCAACAATTTCATCCTAAATTTCGGCAAAGGGCAAGCGTCGTTTCGTAATAACAAACAAACTGCAAGCACTTTCAGCAGGCCAGATATGAACTTCACAAAGGAATTTCACATTTTACTCCATGTAACTCTACCGGACATATTGAATTAGGATTTTCTGGCAGCGGCGTGTTTTTACTTAACACTGATCGATCGTTGCTTTACCGAGCCATATTGCATGAGTTCCAAAGCCTGACCAAACGACATACAGAATTAGCTGTTTCGATTATTTTTGTTGCGTGCAACTGGTTAAATGAGTTATCGTACTGATTGGATTTCAACACTCCGGTCAAATATCTTTTGAATATCTGGTGAATGTAAGTTATTCCCTGTTGTAGACGAAGCTACCTCGTTCACCTTATTCTTTTTTGTTCTCATTACGAAGAGTCACCATTTTGAAATTTCACTTGTGGCACTGCCGAAGAAGGCAGCAACAGGACGAATTAGGTAGATGTGACTAGAATTTATGAAACCCCCGCACCAAATCTTTCGGAATCGGTACCATTTTGGCTGTAATAATGCTGCATTGCTTGTAGTCACGCTGTGTATAATTTTTCAGGTAGATGCATCTGATTCTAGTCTAAACAAATCGAGCATTGCCATTTTGAATTTATAATATTTCAATCGAGAGTCACATCGGCGTTTGCGTCCCAACTGTGGGTGACATCAAAAGTGTGCTTAGTTACTAGACCAGTTGGTCTGCTCAACGGCCCAAGTAAATGAATCCGAACCCTCAGAGCTATGATTTGCGCAACCTAATCGACCATATGAAAACTGATGATTTTAACAATGCTTGCGTACTGATGGGTTTGTTGATGCTAATTTGTGTGAAACTAGTCACATATATTTGGTTAAGTGAAAAAGAGTGCACTTGAATTCGAGGTTAGTGAACTATGTAACATAAACTAGAGGCCAATGAGCCATGGTGAAATAAGTATTTTGATTATTTCTACAATAAAATGCTGGATTTATGCATTCATTTATCCAGCACCATGAGGGAAAACGCCAATGCGACGCAAGGAGAATCAGTGGCTTCAAACAAGTGAGCGTCACCGGGAAATTTCCAACGCCAACTCACTTCCATTAACTACAATAACCTCGTAGACAACCAGTGTGACAAAACCGCGATTGAACTGCTTAAGGAGTCTGGGAACTCATGCCTTATTACCATGTTGGAACGGTGTTGTTTACCACTGGAACCCCATCTTAAAACTGACTATTCTGAGTCCTAATCGGACAAGGCTCATTTGACATCCACAGCCGCACTCTATATCGGGTCTCCTGGTTCGGCAGTTTCAATATGTGTGAGTGCTCAAAACGGCATGTATGGCTCAGGATACTGCTTTGCGTAACCAAAATTTAGCCACTTTCATGTCCACACATTCATCCCGATCAACAGGCATACCTCGCAACCACTCGTGTCAAATCACCTCGCAGCCGAAGTGACCACTAAAATTACCAGTGAGCTAACACTGGGTGCAAAGAATTCTGGCATGCATCTAGCATTCATTTTCAACGAACCCCACGTAATCGATGTAAGCTGCTTTAGTAAAGAATTATGAATGTATACCTCTCTCTAAATTTGCCAAAAATTTATGTTGCTAGCCATGGAATGAAATGCAGTTAGCCAAATCTGATACACGATTGATTTAGTTTCCATGGAATGATCAATCCCGCGGTTGTGGGACACGAGTTAGGGTACAGTGAGTTTGTATTGGTTGAAATATCGCGATATAACATCAAGTGGACGCTCAAATATCTAGACGAATGGCTGATCGAGCAGCTTCAGTAGGTAAGCGGCGATGCCTTGAGATTCCGCCTCTCAAATTGTGAAATCAATCCTGAACATGCGAAAAAAACACACTACTTTCAGCCGCACTTGCTTGCATAAGACATTTCACATGGATCGCACTGTTTGCGGTAGATTAACGCGTATGAGAAACGTTTGTATGGGAATAGAACAGAAAGCAAGCTATCTCTTTTCAGTGACTAAATGCGTTTTGTCCAAGCACCCCCGTAAACTATGACAGTCGCTAAAACCGCACACCCGAGAATTAGTCACTTCGGTGCCACAGACGAAAGTGGCAGCAACACTCTTCAGGTTCCATATACATGTAGCAATGAGGCCATAAGTTACAAAACGTTTCCAAAATGCGAAGGTAAAAGCAGGCGCACTTAGAATTAAGTAGCTGTTTGTTTTGTTACTGGATGGTGAGATACCGAACGGTTGTAGATAATCCAACGAAGCTAGGTCGCAGCCGGCTACGTCACACTTCGAAAACTAGCATCAAATGGTGTTTGACCTCGGAGTCTTACCGATTAATCAATTAGTGTCAGAAGTTCAGTACCAAGCTTCATGGTTTTGGTTCTGGTGCAATGGCAGAGACCTCATCACAGATACAGAGTACAAAAACGAAAGGACTTGCCCGTTGTGAAAATCCTACACATTTTATCATTCTCGTGAATGGATATTTCCGTCTGGACCACCTATATGTTTTCGATTCGAATTCAATAAGCATCGTACAATTTTCCAGGTAGGTGTATCTGTTTCTAGTCTGAACAACACAAAATACGGACTCTCTTCCAATCAGGACACCTTCACGGAATTCGGCGTTAAGCGAGTGTGGCGTGTGTGGGCATCTTAACAATAATTATGCTTAGATTTTAGGCCAGTTGCTCCGCTCGACAGCCTGAGTAGCCAAACTTCGAAACCTCAGGACTTCTCGGAGCGGTGTGTTGCTACTGAGCATGTTCTAATTTTCCACTGATTGCTCGTTGCACATCCAAGAATTATCGCAAGAATTATAAACCCTGACGGAATGATAAACAGAGTAGACTGAAACGGTTATCGCAACACTGGCCAAAACTAACTGATCGGGAGAAATCCACAAGTTTCAACTGTAGTTACCTGATGATCACGCGTCCTGCTTGCGTGCAACTGGTTACGTGAGTTATCTCATTGATTGTATTTCAACAACAGTAGTGGATATCGGTGAAACCAAGTTATTCATTCTATTGTACAAGTCACCGCGTTCAAGACAATCTTTTATTTATTATCATATGGAAGCGACATACTTTTGAAATTTCAGCTGCAACACTGCCGAAAAAAGTAGCAACACGACTAGCCAAGTAACGGTGACTTAAATTTCTGATGGCCTTGCACTAAACCTACCGGACTTGGTACGGTTTTGGTCGCTTTGTTCGCTTTGTTGATAAACTGTCTGGCGCATAACGGGTCACACATAACATTTAGTTAACTGAAGACGAGTGTCGGGTAGGCGAATCTATGCCATGGTCAAATCAGTCTTTTGCTTGTTCCTACAATGAAGGACATTCATGAATTTCCTTTTACAGCACCGTCGGCGAAACTGGCAATAAGACGCAAGGAGAATCAGTGGCTTCAAACAACACGGGCTCAGGAATGTCGCCAAGTCCACCCGAGTCCGAAACTAACTAGTAAGTGAAATAATGGGTGGTGTTTATCTTATTGCGTAGATGTATTAGGTGAGGCATTTGTGAGAGTATTTTGAAAACCATTGAGCAGATGGGTGGCGTTCGCTCACACCTCGATTCTGCGAGCCACATGAGTGGTTGTTTAACCATGAGAGCCATCGATTTGTGGGGCAATATTGATAGTTCACGTCGGTTTTTGCGGGAACTGCACGAACTTCTTCAAACGTGCTATGCAATAGGCCAGATTTCGAAAGTACGCAGTGGGTTCTTTTTGTCCGATTGGGTGTTTTGGCAAATCAATTCATGGATTTAAGATGCTTAAATTAAGCTTCGACTGGGAATCTTCCAAACCCAACTCTCTTCCGCTAACGAAACTTATCTCACAGTCATCCAGTGGGACACAACCGCGGTTAAGTTGTACAAGGAGTCTGAGAACTCATGGCGTATTTCTATAATGGAACTGTGTTCTTCACTTCTGATGTCCCATTTTGAAACTGAGTCCTTATCGGTCGTTCCACATATGATATCCACATCCGCGTACTGTGTCGGATTTACAGGTTGTTTTTGTAGTTTCAATGTAGTTATCTGCATTAGTTTTGTCGCGTGTAACTCTTGATGTGAATTATTTTAATAATTTTTGTAAGTTTGTGCTTTGATATATCGTATGGATATTTAACGGCAAAAAGTATCGTCTGGAATATAACTGTCTGCCCTGTTCTTTTCAATCGTTTGGTCTCCCATCATGGGGCGTTATACATTTGTGTTTTTGCTCTTTGCACTGTAGAAGAAAATAGCAGCTCGACGAACCATCTCTTTTTTTCTAGAAACACTTCAGGTCTTCCAACTGGTCATTCGGAATCACCATCCATTTCCTAATTTATCCATCTAACAATTTATGCCATGCTGAGTATTCGGAATATTTTAGAAATTTTTTTCACAACTTTTTTCTCCCCTTTCACTTGGGGTAACTTCACATTTGGTTTTACGACCTTATGAATAATGACGTTGGGATTTGATCACTCACCCAATAACACATTGTTTCTTGCAGTACTTTTTGTGATCGTCATGTGATCGACATAACTTATATGCTGTAATTTTGTTACCCATTCGGTTTAAGCCGTGAAAGTTGCATAAACTTATCGAGAATAAAGTTATTCTTCTTTGAAATGTCTTCTTTGGCTCCAAACTGTGCCACAAATCATGTACCTCTGGTAAAGTACATCTGATCGCATTACATCGTCTGCACTCCGAAAACGCCATTTCCGCCACTTCTGTATTTGTACGGCAACGTTCTGAAGCATGATTGCATCGAGGTAATTTGTGCTCGAAAATGCGGTGATTGTAAGTGACACTTAGAACAACCATTAAAAGAATACTCTACATTATTGACCTCTGATCTGCCCAGTTGGTTTAGTAAGTGAACTCAATGGCCAAAATCGCCAGCGACGAAACAGTTCTCGGACTTATTCGACCGTATGGAAAATGACGATTAAACAACAGGGCGCGTGCTGATGAGATATTGTGTGTTTACTTATTACTATGTTGCGTAAAATTGGTGATATGAAGTAATTTCGTACTGAAACTGAACGCCTTTGAAAACATTTTGGATGCCATTTGGATGAAAAATAATGTTTCCTAGCAGTTGCCCGCCTTTTTAGCTTACAAAACAGAAAGGTGTTGAAATAGTGAGCACCAAAATTAATAAAAAAAACGCAATATTCATAGATTACCTCGCTGTCCATTGGAAGTGCCTTATTGCCAGACCCTGTTGGGATTAGTCGATTAGATGCCTAATTATCCCCAAAGTAACGGCACGATCTCTTCGTTCTTCGTCATATTTTGAACGTTGGCTCATTGATTTGGCGTTTTCAATCACACTGACGCTTCTGTCTGGCTCAAACCTTGATGACCCTTCTATTGGAACGGTGTCTTGTGGCATGTATAGTTTAGATTGTATCACCAAAAACACCATCGACGCAGCCCATGAGCCATTGACATACACGGAATACGTCTGCATGACAAAGGCTCTATTCAATTCGTGACTGCGGACTAAAATTCTCGCGCGAAGCGAGACCTATCGGCCACAAAACGACGACTCACCATTTTGTAAATTAGCTTGTTTGCAATGACGCTCATGGTCATACTACAAAAAACGAGTGAATACCCAACAGCCGTAAAGAAGCCTGCTTGAGGGCACCAGGACCGAGGCTCACAGAGGAAAGTACCATTGGGCAGTATGGGCAGATACGTCTACTGCTGAAAAGAATAAAGCTCATCTGGAAGGCAAGTCTCCCAAAATGGTTGAGAACCGAGGCGAAATATAGCAACTTATGGAAACGGCCTGTATCAAAATACATGGCATCAAAATAAATGGCGCTTTTTGCCCAGAGTATTCAGCTTAAGCTTTTCAATTAGGCAAAGCGGATAATCAATCGAAGTGAAGGACCATGGAAAATTCATTCAGGCAAATTTATTACTTACAGCGGGATTTCCAGCTATGACTTGGACTTCTGTAATTGGAATGATTTGGCCCAATGAGACAGAGATTTGGAGGGAACAGATGCGTTTTCTTGGCTGACATCCGGCGTCACATTATCTTTTTCTACAGTACCGTCATTCTTACATTACCATCTTTGGTCATCTTTACGGAATTCTTCGATGTACTGTGGGAAGGGATGACTGATTAAGAAGGACCTAATCGGTATCCAAGATTTCCAAGTTAACGTTTTGGGTTATGTGGCTCATTTGAGAAACAAAAATTCAAAAATTGAAAGATTGATTAATTGAAAAATTTCCGTCAACACATTTTTTCTTATCCCAATTGTTGTTTCGATCTCCTTCATTTATTGTATCTTCTACCGCGCTCTTACTCCATAGTCCCTACATGCGTACTGCGATTCAGATAAGAATATGAGGTACCCGAGTGACTTCAGGGGGTTTTTAAATCAGAAAATTAATTCTTTATATTCTCATCCGCTAGATAACCGAATGATGTTAGCTCCAGTTATTTCATGGTATAGATTTTCGAAAAAAACAGTATGAAGGAGACAACAAGTTTATACAAATAAACGCAATAACTTCTTGGCTTTTAGATTGAATACATTAATTGCGAATGCGCGACGTTTCTGTTTATGGATGGTGATTCTTGCGGCATTGTGAGTGTCCGCTATACTTCCTGTGAGAATGTGGCTTCTTGGTTGTGTGTCATGTCTTGGAGTGGACACATTGCTCAGCATTCCAATTCAACCAGTGGAGGCGAGAATAGAACAGCCATTCACTTTGACGTATATGTGTGTTTCAATGACGTATCGTTTTTGGGATTACGCCAGACTGCTGTTTTCCTAGGAGACCCTAATGTGCTGTCGGATTTTCGTGCGTAACTCAGCCTAATTCTACTTTGTTGTAGAATCCCTATGAAGTTGATAGGTTTGTCGCGCTAAACCTAAACAAGGCGCTTAAAAAGAACGATTGGAAATTTGATCGAAGAGAGACTTTAGCAGCCGCTGCAGGTTGTTGGCTATAAGAGCCGGAAGGTGCTACCGACAACAAAATATCTAGTGAAATTTATCGTAGCTAGTTTTGGTTGTTTTTCAAGCAGGAATTATTCTGTCTCATCTAGCTAGTGGCAAGTTGTTTAGTTTGCGCTCATTGGAACGTCACTAACACTGGTAATACATTTGTACCTGGCGTTCGGTCAATCGGTTCTCGCTGCACTTGGAAGGAATAGATACAAGGCGCTAAAAAGAACGATTGGAAATTTGATCGAAGAGAGACTTTAGCAGCCGCTGCAGGTTGTTGGCTATAAGAGCCGGAAGGTGCTACCGACAACAAAATATCTAGTGAAATTTATCGTAGCTAGTTTTGGTTGTTTTTCAAGCAGGAATTATTCTGTCTCATCTAGCTAGTGGCAAGTTGTTTAGTTTGCGCTCATTGGAACGTCACTAACACTGGTAATACATTTGTACCTGGCGTTCGGTCAATCGGTTCTCGCTGCACTTGGAAGGAATAGATTTTCCTGCCAATCTACAAAACTGGTGACTGGTTATCGCTCGGTCTACTAGACTAACTAGGGTACCACAAAAAGTGATTTGTTGAACTTAAAAATGGGCCAACTTAAATCACCTCATCACACATAACTGGATATCCACAGTGCAGCACAATTCTTTCCAATCTGTCCTTGCGTGACAAGCCTGCTCGCACTTATGGACAGCTCAACTCAATATAAAAACAAAGGGCCTATAGAATGGCAAATTTATTTACATTTCAAATGAACATAAGGTACACCGTATCTTAATCAGCACCAAACTTTATCCAAGTTTCTAAAAACCCCGTCTTGGAAACACGTCTGTTTATGATATACATCAGTGACCTTCCAGATATTCTTTGAAGTCATTGTTTACATTTGTTAGAGAATTTTAACCCAAAAGTGTCAACGCCACGACCTTCCAAAAGCATGCCGACGCCGCAGTGTGGTAGTCGCCGGATCATCATCGTCCCCTAAAGACAAAAATTGCGTCCAGGTCTCACTCGGACGCGACTTATTGGGGGCCCATATCGTGTAATATCAGATTAAACCAGGATACACTGGAACGTAGGTACCGAAATTGCTTAAGGTATCTATTTCTCTTCAATCACCATCCTCGTTGCATAATTGTAAAATCGACCCAAACGCATTAGCCGGAAGATAAGGAGCACCTTCGCGGTATTATTTTCCTAGAATTTAGGGTAACTAATGGCATCTATGTCAGATGCTTTCTTGAATAGGTCAAACAACTTTTCTACGTGGGACAAAATAAACACGTATCGCTCATTGAGCCGGTCCCGAAAGCTGCTAAGGAGATGGTTGCCGGGCTGAAATTCATTGATTAAGAAACGGGACTAGATTTGCTTGACCTATTTCTCTGAAGTAGCGTTAATTTCTAGGGGACGCAAAGCTTAAATAGGCACTTTTTGAGCAACGTTCCGACGGCAGATGTTTTCGCTGCTGACTCAACTAAACAACAGTAGATATATGGTTGGGATTTTCAGGCTTGGAAAGTACAATTTAACACTAAGAACTGCATGACGTCCTATGCATTCAAAGTAGTGCTAGTCTATTCCTGACTACTCTGGATATACGATTTCGTAAGCAGACAAACCTCCGGAAAACTGACCTTCAGCAATGCGGTAAACATGGGACGACAGCTACTGGCTAATATGCCAGGATTTCCGGTAGAGTGAGGAACAAATGCAGTAGCCACTTAACGCACACCGATGTGAACAACCCACCGATGCTGATTGTGAGAACAATATGGCCGCATCCCCGCCCAGGAATTTCTTGAAATAATACAGAATTTTGACTCAAAAGCAGAAGTTCATGGAACACTGTTGAACAATTAGGGAGTTGTGTGTCTGTTCTTGAAGCTTTGTCTGAGTAGTCCAGCATTTTCGGTTTTGAAGATTGCCTAAGAAAAATAGTTTACATCGTTGTTTCAGCCAGATTGGAATGGATTGGGGTCAAATAAATACGAAAGGTTCTCCGTGGAGGTGCGGGACTGGATGGAGCTGTTTCATTAGGTAGCACTGATATTACTGTTTATGCACAGCACATTTAACATTTGTAAAAAAAAGAAAGAAAACAAATAATTCACTGTTTATGTTTGAAGATAATGATGTCACTTGCTGTTCAGTTAAAATAGTTGGATTTGAACTCACCCCAGGCCGTCCATCGGAAGACGCCATGATGCTGGTCGTAGTTTTTATAGCAAAGTTTTTCAACCTTATAGTAGGTTGATTTTGGTTGCGGAAATGTTTAACGGTGACATCTAAAGATTACAGGGCGACGGTCTCTAGAGGTCGGCGATAATTCAGCGAGGTAATACTTTGAGAAAGAAAACAAATATCACCCAGGCCTGTTGGAATCTTTATGGGTTTTGAATAGCCCAACATAGTAGCATATACCTTCAAAAATCCTGGAGGCTACGCTACTCACCTTTAGAGTCTTGCATTTGAGCGGTTTCTTTGAGTGGCTGGTGTGATAATCACATTCTAAATGACGACGGACCTTGCCCATTACTGCAGCTCTCTATCCCTGACATTTGATGAACAACTTCCCTGTCGGATCACCAGTGATCGGTTAGTTATGGTCTCATGATTACCATTCAGATCACGCTTATCGGAATGCGG